TAATTAATGGTGAAATCATATTCTTCAAGTGTTAAACGAAACTTAGTTAATCTAGAGGAAGGATTCTTGTTTCCAAATAAATATACGAGTGGCCTGTGATCTGTAAAAATTTGAAATTTCCGAACAAATAAGTAGGGTCTAAAATGATTGACACTCCACACTATTGCTAAAAGTTCTTTTTCGATAGTTGAGTAATTTGTTTCCGCTTTGTTTAATGTTCTGCTTGCATAAGCAACTGGCTTATCGTTACTATTGCACAAGATCGCACCTAATGCAAACGCACTGGCGTCGGTTTTTAAAATGAACTGACTTTCCGGTGAAAAATCTGGGAACTCTAAAATTGGTTTTTCAGTTAATTTTTGTTTTAAACTTTCAAATGAATTTTGGCACTCTTTGCTCCAAACAAATTTAAAATTTTTTCTCGTTAATTGGTTTAATGGTGTTGCAATTTTTGCAAAGTTTGGAATAAATTTACGGTAGTAGTTAGCAAAAGCTACAAATCTCTTAGTTTCTTCGGCATTATTAGGTACTGGATAATTGCAACGCGATAATTTTACTTGGATCCGGAGAAATTCCATGTGATTCCATATGACCTAAATATAGAAGTTCTTTTCAAAAATTCGCACTTTAACTAATTTGAGATTCACTTTTCTTAATCGTTCTAAAACTTTAACTAAATTTCGATTATGATTTTGCAAGTTGTTTCCGAAAACGATAAGATCGTCGAGATAAATAAAACACGATTCGTAGTTTAATCCCGATATAATGCTATTGTCATGATTCGTGAAAATGAATTTGGACTAATTTTTAATCCCATCGGTAAACGTTTCATTTGGAATTGACCTTTAGCAGTGGAAAATGCTGTATATTTTCTAGATGTTGGCTCTAATTCTACCTGATAAAACCCTTGCGTGAGATCTAAATGTGAAAAATACGTATAGCACCTCCTAGTGCATCGTAAATGTCTGTAATATTCGGAAGTGGAAACTTGTCATCTTCAATATTTTTGTTTAATTGACGATAATCTACGACTATTCGCCATTTTTGGACTTCATTATTACCTAAATTTTTGGGAACTATTAGAATGGGTGATGACCAAGCCGATTTACTTTCTTCAATGATCCCATCCTTAAGCAATTGGTCGATTTGTTTGTTAACTTCGTGTTTTTGAGAGTTTGGTAATCGATATGGTTTAATGTAAGTTGGACGTGCCTCAGGTTTTAAGTTAATTTCCGCTTTAGCCACATTAGTAACGGTAACTTTATCATTTTCTAGAATAAACACGTCGGCGTATTTCGCGCATATTTTCTGGATTGTATCAGATTCTTCCCTATTTAATTTGTCAAAATTAATTAATCCTAATAATTTGTCGACTCTATCAACGCATATCTCGTTAGTGTCAAGGTTATATAAGTTAAAATTTGATAATTTAATCACATCTGGACTAAAATTACCTCCCTATCGCTTGTATTTAAAAATCGTACGGGTACCATATGATTATCTGGTTTAACTATGATTCCGGCAGTGAAAATATCTTTGGAAATTTCTTTTGGAAGAATAACGCACTCCTCTTCAGTTTCAACCCAAAAATGTTTAATAATTTCGCACCTCGATGGAATGCAACTTATTGTATTATAATTCGATTCTAAGGGTATTGTGATTGCATGAGTTTTATTAGAAAGGGATATTGTAAAATTTTCATAATTAATTATAGCGTTGTAGGCAGTAAGAAAATCTAACCCTAAAATACCATCAAAGTTTTTGTTACTTTCGTTAAGAATATAAAATTTGTAAGCGATATTGAAATTCTCCACTTGTAATGGAAGATAAACTGATCCATCTGTTTTGGTGGAACCAGCAATTCCGTTGACTTGGACATTATCATTTATTTGTATAAGTTCATCTTTATTTAAGGATTTTGAAAAAAATATGCTAATTGAGGCGCCGCTATCAATTAAAAATATTAAATTTCTGTGACCATAGAGGATTTGTAAATAATTTAAATCAATGTTACTGGCGTCTACGTGATTTAATTTTTCTTTAGGAACGAAAAAATGTTTCCCTATTTGGCTTATTACTATTTTCAGTTGATTCAGTGCTGAAGGCATTGACTTTTCCGCTATTTCCTGCAGAAGTATTACTTGTGAAATTGGATCTACCATATTGCCGCACAGTATTGAAATTTCTATAATGAGGATTATTAGCACGCGTGTAATTTTTATGCGTATTCATCTGATTCTTCGGAGCATTGTACCTTTGGTAATTTGTTCTATTTTGTGCAAATTGCGATGTTTGATTAGACCACCTATTTTCATAGCGATTTTGACCGAATTTGTTACCTTTCCAATTATTTCTACTAAAATGAAAAAGTTTGAATTTGACGGTTTATTTACCTCCTCATCCTTCGCAACTGTTATTGCATCTTTTAGTTTCGCACAATTTCGGGCTTTGACAATAGTTCGTAACTCGTGATTCCGTAATCCGTTACAAAAGGAATTGATTGCAATTTTTTCGTTAACCGTGATTAATGATTTTAAAAGATCGTCGTCGTTTCCAGCTTGGGCTAATGATAGATCACTTAACAATTGTTCAATATTTTCTGCAAATTGCTCAACCGTTTGACTTTGTTGTTTAGCGTTATGGAGTTGGTTGGCAAGAACAGTGGCGGACTTTTTGGTAATAAAATTTTCACTAATGTCGGCAACCAAGGACTCTAAGTCTCCGTATGACCTATTCAGCCTAACTTTCGCCTGCTCAGATAAACGTGTTTTCAGTATGTATTCTATTAAAACTTTTTGATCTTCCGCTTTTAATAATTTGGCATATAATTTGCTCGAATCTATGAGTTGTCGAGTGGTACTCTCTTTCCCGTCCATACACGGTAAGAGAATGGAAGCAGTTTTCAAACAAAATGCCTCGCCCATTTTGGATTTTTTAATTAATTAACCTATCGTCTATTAATAAATGCGATTCGTTTAAAATATCACCTATTAACCCTATACAGTGTCGTAATTTTTCGACCTCAACTTTTGAAATATTTTTCTGCTCCTCATAAAACCTTAACTTTAGTTTGTTAAATTCTAATATAAGCACTCCTAGCTCTTCTAATTTCCTATTATTAAACCCTAAATCTTGTCGCCTCTCATTATTGTCTTTTTTCCTATTATTTCTAAAAGCACTAACTTTTTCCAAAAATGTTGAAAATTCTGTATTTAGCATAACTCTTTTAAACGGCATTGATTTTACCTATTGTTCAGTTGCCTGATTCAGACCTCGAATTGGCTGGGCGAACTGGAATCTGTAGCATTTCCTGGCTGCGACGTACTTCCCTTCGGATGTGATTTTCTAAACTTCTCTTGCACTTTACGTATGTACAGCACATATAATACAGCTACCACCAGCAGGACGATGATGACTACTACGCCAATTTCGACTAATTTGGAACCTTCCGAGCTCGATTGGTTCGCGTTGTTGTTTCCTGACCCAGCCGCTTCAAAGATAATTTGCTCCTGTTTCTTTGAACACTTCGTGAATTGCACATTGTGAGGTTTATTTTTCTAGTCCTACATCCGTATCACATAATTTTACACTTTTAGGCAGGATCGCCATGTAATGTTCCCTCTGGTGGAGAGAACATTTAGGGAAAATAACCACTCGTGAAGATGACTTAAAACTTTATTTACAACTCAACACCTACCTATATCTACTACATTACGATTATTACTGACTTCACGCAACGCTTTACTTAATCAGTTAATTAATAATTAATTGTCACGTCATGCGCAAATCAATATTTATATTCTTATTCCATTACAATTCGCACTAGTTTTCTAGTAAGACTGTAAGTAGCATTTCTTCTGGAGTGACACCGGTAAATTTCAGAGGTGTAATAAATGTAGTAAGTAAATGAGTTTCTGTAGTGCAACTTCGTATAAAGTACCAAGAACAAAGTATTAGGCGTAAAAGACAAAAATTACCATTAAAAATTCGAAATTTAAGGTCACTTACAGTTCAACTGGAAGTGCCACAATTTTGTTATACAAGGGAAAAAAGCTTTAGATTATAGCTTGAGGTTGTGAGGGAAACAAAAGACCGAGAGTATTTTAACAATCACTTTTTTATAAATTTTTATTTTTGGCTGAACCAAACTAACATGAAACTCAACATTTACTAGGTTCGTAAAAACAGGTGACAAATCGGAAACGCTCTGTGACCGTTGAGTTTTTAATACAGAAACGCCAATAAACTACCTTGTTTGATTAATTACTGAAACTTAGATTAACTAATGGATTAATTTTAATATTCGAATTCCGTCTGTATTCCAATTGTTAAAGAAACATCGGGCAAATGCAGCATCTGTTATGAGCGATGGATGATCTTTTGGGAAAATGTTTCGGAATAAGTTAGATTTATTGACATTTGGAGATCTAAATTATCTTAATTGAGAGGGTGTGTTGGTAGGCAATAAAATTAAGTAGGCTTAAGTTGGTAATTAAAAGTTTATTTATATTAAATTGCTCGAATATCTTCAGAGCTGTCAATCTTGGGGATGAGCTTTTACTAACGCCCATGAGACAATGCAAAATCAGACGCCGTTGGTTTATAAATCTTCTTGGTGAAAGTACCACTGAATCAGGGTTATATGCAAATAATTGAAGTCCCAAATAATAGAATTGTCCCATTATACAAACTATAAACCTTCACAGTGTAGGAAGTGGGCGATTACATCGCATTTTTTCTCTCCCCAGAAGGTGACTGCCAAAATTAAAGGTTTGGGTGCAGTTTCTCTAACTCCACCATCTAAAATTTTAAATCAACTGTAGCGTTGCTAATTGTACGTTAGAAGGGTGTAACAAAATAGTGAAAGAAGAGATTCAGTTTTGGCTTTATATTAATAAAAGCGCGAGAGAGATACTACGAGTTCCTCTCTTCCGAAACTAACCATGCAAGCGGCTTCTTTATGCTATTCGTCCTTTCCATAGCTTACTCGGTTTCTAGTTGTCGTGAGAGGTGAACCGAAAGCTACCGCTTGCGATTATATCGCGCTTCGAGGATCAGGATCGTAATCGAACCCCCTTTTTTGCGCGCTCGCGGAAAATATTTAGTGCGCTTTTTACTGGACTTAGTGCGATTAAATGGATTGGAACTTGTCATAGTTTTTCTTTTCTGGAAGTAAGTAGTATTTTCAAAATTCGACATCAGGACGCTTTTGCACAATTAAGAATAATTTCACGCAAGAATTGTTTAATTCTTTCATTTATGTTACTACCTCCAATGGCGCCCAACGCGTGTTCATTAATTATGCTTTTTTAATAACATTGTTCAACCTAATGTTGGTGAGTTAAATCTCTTGCATCTGCTTAAGCTTAACATAATACTTTACGCAGTCTGCTTCGTTCGGTCATAAAGCTCGAAAATATGATTTTATTAACAAGCCATTTCTCATCATGTCGATGCTTGATTTTTACATCGTAAAAAACATAGATCGACGATTAACAATGTTTCGTACAGCTAAACTTTATGTTCAGGGCATGTTCGATGAAATATTTCGATTTTATCGGTTCCGACGTATACTTTAAAACTTGCGTTAATTCTGTTGCAACCGACTTTTAAGACGCGGTGCTTTTATGTCGTTTATTCGGAATTTAAGAAATGCGAAAAGTGATCTGCATATTTTCAGTGCCCTGCTACGACCATAAAATTTAAAAGAACAGAATTCTCTTGTAAATCAAAATCTCCGAGTTGATTTTACTACCACCAATCGGATATCAAGTTTATCCAAAAGCACAAATTGAACTATTTCCGAGTAAGTAGGTAATATGCAGATTTCCGTATGTACATATTTCAAAATCGGGAACTACGATTTCAAATTAAGTAAAGAAAGATACATCTTTTTATAATTGACTAATCGTTTCGATTAAGATTGCGATAAGGATCGAAGAAAATTTAAATGAAAGAGAACTCGCTATAATTTATGTGTCTTGACAGATGTATATGTTACGGTTAAAAGTAAAAATTCCGGTGAATGTGCATATTAACCGAAGGCACATATTTTCCTACGATGTTGGCTAAGTTTCCCTTCCCATAATTATGGGATATGTGTACATTTCCCGGGGAATGTGTACATTCGCCGATTATTAACATTAACCGTAACATACACACCTCTCACTGGAGGGAATTGTGCGTGATTTAACATACGAAATAACATCAGTACCTAAATCACCACGTCTTCTCATGTTGTATGAGCTTTATGAGTTTTATGATGAAGATCAAGCACATACAGAGAAAAACTTTCAATGCTTTTGACCGAGGTAAAGAGTTCAGGTACTTTTACAATTTCGTGAATTTCTTTACATATCAATCGAAAATGTCGGAATTGTGTCTGATGATCTAACTCTAACACATACAATTCTAATAAACTCGTAGATATGCGTCTTACTTTTATTAGATTTCAATTTCTCCGATGTGGTGTATGGGAAATACTAAACCAAAAATACTAAACCAAAAATACTGCATCCAAAAAATCCAAAAAACAGTTTGTACATTTTTTGTTATCTGGCGTCAAAATATCAATCAATCAATCATTTTATTTTCCATGTAGACTACATATAAGAGTATAGGAACGTCACAAAATAAATAAATAAGATGACAAACAAATACGTGCAATAGCGGAATGCTGAAGTACATAAGGCGCCTTATGAATTGGCGAGATATTCTTTGATACTGTAAAATGGGTGGTCAATGAGATACTTTTTTTAAATATCTTTTAAATGGGCGAAGAGAGGTCAGATTCTTGGCTTCTTGTGGAAGACGGTTGAATAGCTTTATCATCATATATTTTGGTGACACTGCAAATAGCGTTGTGCTGTGCGGAGGTCAGTAGGGTTATTGTGGTAGCGGGTTTTCATGCCCTGGATGATATCCTCGTATATGAACACTTATGCTCAGTTGCACCGACAAAATTAAGCCTTGCATAAAGTTTAGTCGAACTTAAAATCTATGGCAACGATTATTAAGACAATCGTTGCTATAGCATTTAAGTATGCTTAACTTAATACTTAATTTTGACGGTGCAACTGGCCATAAACCTGGTAATTAAATAAGTGACATCACTTATTCCAAATTATCCTATGTAGTCCAGGCGTCAGAGATATTTTTGGCGAAAAAATTCCCAGGGAAGATTTTTTTTTCGTCAATTGCATCGTTTTGTCGTCATGAACAATACCATATAAAATTCCTCCAAAAATTCGCCCTGGAAGTATTTTTTTTTCAGTTTGACCAAAAAATTTGTGTTTTATTGCAAAATAACTCAATAACTATCTAGTACGGTCATTTTATGTTGTTTACACAAACAAAATTAATAAAGTTTCGTAACTTTATTTATTTATTTATTTATACCTTTGGGTGTGGTGTTCAAAACTGGCAACTTTCCCCTCTCCTCCACCTGACGTTGTACCCCCCTCATCCCGAAGTTTTGTCTTGGTTTATGGTTTTCTAACTTTTTTGCGAAAACTATAATAGATACGAAAAAAGAAAAGAAAACAAGACATATGACATATGTTTAAATTATTATTTAACGGATTATACCTTCCCTATGTAATTTAATAATAGTTGTCTATAATCGTGAGGTAAAAAACTAGAGTAAAGTTACATTATAAAAGTTGTACTAAAAGGACTACTTAATAAAGGCTTGGTTGTGGTTAATAATAATTCAGGTAGTAGAGTAATTTAAAGTTGAAAATACTTGTGTCGAAAAGCTAAAAATGATCTTTAAGTAATCTTAAATTAGTTATTAATAAGTACTTACAATAAACGGAGATACACTGTGTATGAGATATACAAGAGGGATTTTTTTTAAATATTGATTTATGAAACAAATTTATTCTTCATAGTATTTTTTGCTTGCTTTGAAAGTACCAATAACGTTTCGATTGTTTGTGGTTTGAAAGCAATACGCTATCTTGATTATAATGTAGAATGATAACTTTCAATAAAAAAAAATTAATTTTATTATTTTTCCAGATTTTTATAAATAAATTTTAGATTATCGAAACGTTATTGGTACTTAATAAATTTTTTCATAAATCAATATTTTAAAAAAAATTCCCTCTTGTATACCCCATCGCTTTACACACCGTATAAAGGGCCGGGCGGAGTTTTTGGCATTTTAATTAAAACCCAATTAAGGGCAGGTTGGTTGGAACCACACGATTAATATAGAAACATTACTGCACACGAGGGTCCCTTGGGGGGTTGGTTAAAACATGTTAAAAATTGAGTTACATTTTAAAAAACTTACGTAATACGGTGAAGCCGGAATGTAAAAAATTGAATTACAAATTATATAACAATAAATAGCAAAAACTTACTGTAAGAGGGACAAAGTTGAATTGATTGAATAAATTACATTATTAAGTTAAAATAATAGAAGAACCTTAGCACGTGGAAGACGTGAAAAGTTAGGTTAAGACGCCGAGGTTAGCAAAGGAAACTGTAAAACAAAAATTTTATACAGGATGGTGCAAGAAATTATTGTAAAAATAAGAAGTTTTGATTGAAGCTTATAGTTTTCGCATTTGATGTTAGAAACAGAGAAATCATCACCTTTAAGGAAATTCTCGACTTTTTCCACGTAGTCACTCGTGAAAATAAGGTTATTATCTTTGCCTTTCCGCTTTTATGGATTTTAAAGTTTTAAGAATGTGGCGGTTGAGCTTTCCAGGTGTTAATCTTAAGTTAGTAATTTTATGTAAGCAACTGGCTCTGTATGATACATTCAAGATTGCGTTTAAGTTCTTCCACTGTTTTTTTATTAGCTTTGAAGGGGTTATATTTTAGACACAAATTTAGGAGATGGAACTCCTCTTTGTCAAAGGTGGTAGAACTTAAATTCGATACATTGGAGTGGAAGTTGAAGAAAGAAGCAGGGGTATTCGGTTGAGGTTGGGAATGAAAATTAAGTTTCTTAAGGTTTTTGAGTGTTTGTGATGATAGCATTTTGGGCTCTGGTGGAGTTGGTCTTCGTCTTGATGTTTATGTATTTAGGAAAAAGTTCTTCTTTTAAGCAAGTGGGCTGTTCAACCATATGTTAAGTGAGGTCCTCTTCATTTTTTTAACTCAGTTTTAAATAATTGTGGACTGTAGAAGCTCGGTCGGCTGTGGAATATGAAATTTGGTTGTCCATTCTGGCTCGAAATGGGGGTTCCGGAAAAAATCACCCCTTCTATTGTTTACCCTTTATTGGTTCATCCTCGAATGCCTTTGAAAATATCAAAAAACACAATATAAACATAATCTTCCAAGCTGACAACAATGTTAAATCCTTTCTGTCTCACACAAAAGACCCCATCCTTCTCACCGAAAAAAGTGGCATTTACAAACTTATTTATCCGTTCTGCCAATACTTCTATACAGAGTGGCCCAACGAGAAGTATACAGAGGGCTTTTAGGGTATTAAATTTAGAAATTTCGAAAAATCCTCGAACACGTCAATTTTGTCTTCGAGGGGGACAACTTTTGGAATACAAATCGCGAACCCAAGTCTTCACCCGTCTACGTAGGGAGCTTAACCCCTAAAATTTTAAATGGAATCCTATGGCAAATGGCACATTATTTGAAAGCCAATTTAATCGTGATTACTAATCTGCTTTGCTTTTTAAATTCTATTGATTCGTTTCGGAGAACTGACAGGTTCACTTAAGTTTAACAAACAAATTGAAGGGTCAAAATAAAATTTTAATACAAGGTGACTTAGATCGCATTTGTTTTGGTTTTTTAGAAAAAACCATTTCAAATGCGAATATCTCCGAAACGAATCAATAAAATTTAAAAAGCAAAGCAGATTAGTAATCACGATTAAATTGGCTTTCAAATAATGTGCCATTTGCCATAGGATTCCATTAAAAATTTTAGGGGTTAAGCTCCCTACGTAGAGGGGTGAAGACTTGGGTTCGTGATTTGTATTCCAAAAGTTGTCCCCCTCGAATACAAAATTGACGTGTTCGAGGATTTTTCGAAATTTCTAAATTTAATACCCTAAAAGCCCTGTGTATACTTCTCGTTGGGCCACTCTGTA